CCAGGACGTGTCAATGAGATGTGCGGGGCGGAAGGAGCCAAACAGTACCTCCCCAAAGGTTCACAAAACGCATAGAAATAAAAAGGACAACAACATAAGTGATTAGTGAGCTGAGAAAATACAGCAGTTTGGTGGGGGCTTCCGAACTACTCTTTTTTTTTACCTAATAGTAAATTGCTAGGGTGTACGTTCTTATTTTCCTTTGATTTTTTTTTCAAGTCAGCAGCACCTCCAACTTTGTGGATGGTCCCGGACGCCTACATGGCACACGCTCACTTCAGAAGCGAAGCGAAGGCTCATTCGTGTCTGAGCCGTGCGTGACTTTAATCGGGCTTGCAGCAGAGAGGGTGAGGGGGAGGGCCGGCCGTGCCGGCGCATGGCCGCGCGGGGCTGCGCCGCGCCGAGCCTCCTCCCGCCCGCCCCCGTCGTCGGCGGCCCTTCTCAGCGTCCAGCGGAAGACGCAGGCGGATCAAGCGGGCTGATAGCCGCGGCCCGGCGGCCCGGGGCGGAGCCCTGCTGGTGTTTCGCTCGCCTTTTTGAATCCCCAGAGAGGAGAACCTATCATTTACGTCACGCAAAGAGCTTGCCGCTCACGCATGAAAGCCATCGCCCGACTTCAGAGGCAAAAGCACAGAGAGGGAGAGCCCCGCGCGGCCCGGTGAAGAGCGGGGCGCTTCTGAGGATGCTCGGCAGAAGGACGACGGCGCGCGCTTTTTTTCTTCCGTTTGATTCGGTCGCCGGCAGCGGTTACGACGGCACAACATGCCATCGCGCGCTGCTGCTGGTCTCCACTTCAACAGAAAATAAACGCATGTTTTTCCTCATTCCCCTTTCACCTGTTTTTTTTCCCTTCATCCCAGCTCGTGCTCTCCTGAGCGAGTGTCAACCCAGGAGGGCCCCACGCAGCGACGCGTCGAGTCCGCCCCGCCCCGCCTCACCTCGCGCCCTCGCGGCCTCGCGCCCCGTGCGCCAGCGCCGAGCCAGCGCCGCCACCGTCCCCGGCTTTGGGCTCGGCTGCTGCTGCTGCTGCTGCTGCTGCTGCTGCTGCTGCTGCTGCTGCTGCTGCTGCTGCTGCTGCTCCGATGCTATCTCTCTGACACGGCACGGCGCACCTCGCCGGTCTGACATATTTATTTTATGGCGCCGGTCCGCCCCGCCCTCGGGCTGCCCCCCACCGCCCCCACCTACCGGCCTTGCCTGGCCCCGGAGCTCTGCGACGACCCTCCACTCCGTGCGCGGAGGCGCATCGCCTCGCCTGGCCTCGCATGGCCTCGGGGAGCAAACCCTGGGAACCCCCGGGGAGACTCGGCGAGTCCCGGGAGGGAGCCCGCGGGGCAGGAAGGGAAAGGGGGACGCAAAACACGTCGGGGCGAGACGGGACGGGACGGCGACGGAGTGCGCGGGGTCGGGCGGGCGCTAAGGCCGCGCCGTCGTCGCGCGAGGGTTGCGCTAGACTTCCCTGGAGACGGAATTCAGATCCGGTGGAGACGGTGAGGCGGAATTCAGGTCTGGTCCTCGCTTCACAATCCCTGTCTCTCCCTCACTCATTCGCGCAAAATCAGAGAGAAGCTTCTGGGTCAGGTCCATCTCCATCCATGCTCCGGTCCCTCCCGGGACGTTGTTAAAACTGGGGTTGTAATGATGGGACTTTCCAAGTATACACCCAGAAAACAGTTGCGTTGATTCAATAGAAAGAAAATATCATGGAATTTTTCTCTTGACTCAATGGAATTTCATTGATTGAAAGGAAAAATTCCCATAGTGTAATGGGAAATCGCTGAAAGTTCCGAAAAAATTCATCTGTTCATTTATTTTCTTTGATATAAGGGATTCTCCGTTAATTAAATGGAACCATTTTCTGGGTGTAGCAGCATTTGGTAAAAAAAATTAAATTGCATGCCCCAGTGTGAGGAAAACCAATTTCAACAGGTTATTTTAAGAGAGCATTGGTATGCAGTATTCAGACATTTTTGAAACTCCTGTTTTACAATGTTTTGAAGGAATTGAGAAGAATTTTTTCTTGCATTCTTAAAACCTTGCAAAATGAATTAGTTTATAACGCTGCAATGTAATCGTGTTCTTTTCATTTTAAACTATTAATTGGTATAGTTCGCAAGCTTATTACGAGCCCTTTTCGCCTCACATACCACATAATTTATTTCATTTCGAAGCTATTGCAAACATTGCTTCGCTTTGCAAGTTTTTAACTCAGTGTACAAATAGGATGAGAAGAGTTGTCCATTAGCCAGAAAATCTTTCTGATGGTGGCCACCACTAAGTTTTTGTACTTACTTAAAGGGTTACAAGGGACTCAAAGGGTATTATTTTGTGGAATATCGGGGGAAGAAACTTAAATTTGAGTAATTATGGAAATTTTTTGTGATATTACTGCAAAACTTCAAAGGCCCTATTTTTAAAGTTCTCTTTCTTTGGCCTCTTTGGATTTCAAAGATTTTCATTCAAAATAAAATGATTAAATCTGGCATGCAAAAAGGCCACAGCAGAGTTTTCAGTGCGTGGCGTGGCAACCATCTCGGTTCTTTGAAGAAGGCACGCGTAGAGAGAGAGGCTGGTTTTCCTCGCTGCCTGGGGTGGGCTGGGACCATTACGACATATGGCGGAGCAGGCTGTCGCTCCTCCTTGCGAAACGTCATGCGTGTGTTCCATCAAGAGGACGTATACTGCTGCATATATCGGCATACATGCTACGCAGTCCGTCTCTCTGCCTCTCTCCCTTGTTTTCTGGCACCCCTCGTCCCGTCGCGTGAGAATAGAGCACAAGCGCACCCGTCCTGGGGAGTGTGTGTGTGTGTCGTTCTGTAGGTGTATTGTACAGGGGGCTGTTCAGGCGGGCCGCCTGGGGCGCTTCGCAGCGCCTCAGCTCAGCTCGCCCGCCGGCCACACCGCCCCGCCCCCCGCCCCGCCTCGTCAGATGCGGGGAAGGGTGAGAAGGACGGGGGAGATTCTCTGAGGGCAGCAGGCAGGGGAAGGCTGGAGCAGAGGGGCAGGAGGGATACGGTGGGTAAGCCCCAGATCTGCTTGTCAGCGTTTCCACTGCGGCTTTGCTCGAGCAAGTGCTGTGTGCATGTCCGCCTTCTCCGCCGCGGGGAAAAATCGTTCATGAAACAAGACCAGAAGGGATGAGGAATAAATAATGAATGAAGGCCTGGCCGAGCACCCCGGCCCTGCTCCGCCAACAAACGCGTCCGCTCACGGAAGGAATCCGTTGCGATCCAGAAAGGAGCGCCGGCACGGCGGCGAGGCGGGCTGCGGGCTGCGGGGGGCAACCCAAGGTTATTGAGAGCGCAAGTTCGTGATAAAGAGGCTCCTGGATTCATCCGGACTCCACCGAATTTATTCCTATGGATGGATGATTGGATGATGGATGATGGTGTGGGTCGATAGGGTCTCGGGGATGTGTGGGCAGTGCGGCCGGACCGAGGCTGGGGCGGTGGGGGGGAGGAATACACACGCGCACACACACGCACGCACACACACCTCCTGTGTTTGTTTCCATCCCGTGTGAGGCGAGCAGCCGTCATGCACAATTATTCCCCCACCCTCCAAATATTTAGATTTCGACAAACAGAAATGTCCCCCTCCCCCTTTTTCTTCGCCCCTATAGGGCCCAGCTATGTCGTCTCTATAACAAATAAACAAACAAAAATCAGTAGAGCGCTCGATGGGAACATTGAATATTTTCCAGTGAGGGGTCGCTGCATCCCCTGAATTTATGTGCCCAATATCAGGGAGGGGTCCCCGTCGGGGGACGCGTGCGGCCGGTACCGATGCTGCTGCAATAATAATTAATACCGGACTGAATATTGGATGCAGTCGGGTCGAGTCGGCAGTGTTCGTATTCAGATCAGGAGGCGACATGAATCCGGTGTCAATATCGAAGCATTGAAACATTAATCATGGCCCGAGCCCGGCCCGCCCCTCCGCCTCCTGCCTCTCGCGTGGCGGCGCTCCGTATCGTTATTGCCCACAAGCTAAATGGTGCTAAAAAGGGCCGAGCTCCAATCTCCGCGTGCATCGCTCCACCGTTAAAAATATCTTATACTGTCGTTTTTTTGGGCGTCTATAATTCTGATTCACAAGTGTTGTTGTGCACTTATGCACACGCGGTCATAAACAAAGTAAGAAATTTTCGTAAGCAGTTTAGAATTAAATTTACAAATTTTCATTCTGAATTTGTTATCTTGCGACATGAGTTAGTAACTTTACGACACTTTCCAAGGACAATACATATTTTTTTTATAAACCATCGAACATTTTTCAGTCAAGGATATTATTCAGAGAATTATTTGACAATTATTTCATCAGTCAATAAAAGAGGTATCTCAAAACTCGGATTTGTATCCTTCAGGACCAGGGGGATAGAGCACCGAAAGCGGCTTTCCTAAAGCGTCAAGCTCATATACTTTGCAAGCCCTCATAGCGCCTCGTAGGTAGGCAATATCTTGCGTGCAGTGCATGCGTGTACCGCGGGCTGGCCTACCCCCAGTTTCGCAGGCGCCAAGCCCCTAGCGCACTCCGCGTGACTCCGCCCGCAACAATCAGCATGCTCCGCAACAAGAAGTGGCGTGCCTCTCGTTAGC